AACTTCCTTGCTATTCAGCTATAAAAGTATGGCCAACTGACCTCATTATATTGACTGGGATTACAGGAAGCAGAATGAGGTATACAGATAGATACTTGGATCACACCCTTGTCTGTAACAAACATTATAAAAGGGTTTACTCCTCTTAGTGAAATTTTCACTTCAGAGTTCACAAAGCCACTTCTGCATGTATCTTCACATGATAAAAACCTATGGTGGGATTTTACCTTTAAAATATTAATTATAAAAAGAATGGTCAATGCCAAATTCATTTTGAGACCACAGTCACCCTGATACCCAAACCACATAAAGATTCAACAAAGAAAGAGAATTATAGATCAATTTTCCTCATGAGCATTGATGCAAAAATACTTGATAACATACTGGCAAACAAAATCTAAGACCTCATCAAAAAGATCATCCACCATAATCAAGGAGACTTCCTCCCAGAAATGCAAGGATGGTTCAACATTTGAACATCTGTTAATGTAATCTACCATATAAACAAGCTGATAGAAAGAAAAACACATGATCATCTCCTTAGGTGCTGAAAAAGCCTTTGACAAAATCCAATAGCCCGTTATGATAAAGGTCTTGGAGATATCAGGGATAAAAGGAATATGCCTAGACATAATAAAGGCAAATCACAGCATTTCTATAGCTGACATCAAATTAAACGGAGAGATTCCACTAAAATCAGGAACAAGCCAAGGCTATTCACATCTCCATACCTATTCAATGTAGTACTTGAAGTTGTAGATAGAATAACAAGGCAGCTAAAGGAGATTGGTAAGGAAGAATTCAAAGTAATGCTGTTTTTAGATGATACGTTAGTCTATATGAGAGGCCCCAAAAATTCTACTAGGAAGTTCCTAAAATTGATAAACACTTTTGTCAAAGTGGCTAGATATAAGATCAGCTAAAAAATTCAATATCCCTGAAATCAGGGCAATAACAGCCTCCCCAATAGCCACAAATAATATAAAATATCTTGGGGCAATTCTAACCAAGCAAGTGAAAGTCTTGTATAATTAAAAACTGTAAGTTTTTGAAGAAGGAAATTGAAGAGTATCTCAGAAGATGGAAAGATCTCCCATGCTCATTATTCGGTATGATTAACGTGGTAAAAATGGCTGTCCTACCAAGAACAATCTACAGATTCAAATCAATCCACATCGAAACTTTAACACAATTCTTAACAAACCTTAAATACTCAATTTCATATGGAAAAACAAAACCCCATGATAGCTAAAACAACCCTATACCATAAAAGAACATCCAGAGGTATCACCATCCCTGATTTCAAGCTGTATTACAGAGCTGTGGTGATAAACAACACATGGTCCTGGAATAAAAACAGATACAATGATCAATAGAATCCGATTTAAGACACAGATGTAAATTCACACACCCAAGGACAATGGGAGAAATTTATGGGTGACATAGAAACATAGCTTAATGGAAACTCCATTTAATCTATGAGAGTAACCCTAGGAAAGATTCCTAGTAATGGCGATGTGGAGCCTTAACTGGCCATCATCTATAACCACACAAGGCCTCAAGTGGAGGGATTGGGCCACCAACCCAAACACAAAACCTTCAACCTACAGTTTGTCCTACCTGTACAATGTTCTGAGACTGGAAGCTAGCTGAATTGTCATCCAAGAGACCAGAGAGACTTCATTCAGGAACTGATGGGAGCAGATCCCACAGCCAAACATCTAGCAGAATGTGGAGAGCTCTGCGAAGGAGGGGGGAGGGAGTGATCTAAGGAACTGAAGTGGTCAGGGACACCAAGAGAACATGGTACACAGAATTAATTGACCAGAACTCACAGGGACTTTTAGAGATCAGGAGACAGTAAGATCTGACCTAGGTCCTTTGCATATATGTTATGGCTGACTAGGTCTGGGATTCCCACCATTGGGGGTGGGGGTATCTGTGACTCTATTGCCTGTTTCTGGGACTTTTTCCTCTTACTAGTTGCCTCATCCAACTTTGATGGAATGGTATACACCTGGTCATATGGTGGCTTGTTATGCTCTGTTTGGTGGATATCCCTGGGAAGCCTACTCTCTTCTGAGGGAAGATGGAGAAAGGTGGTGGATTTGGGGGAAAGAAGAGGTGGGGGGAGAGATAGACTTGGTGAGAATGAAGGGGAAACTGAAGTAGGATGTAATATGTAAGAGAAGAATACAAATAAAAGAAAAACATATTAATGATGAAGTTGGAGTTTTATTCATATGATAGAGACAGAGTGATACCCTCATTTTTAATTCCAATTACTATGTTCTTCCACTGAAAGTCTCCCATTAAGCCAGGAAAGACAGAAAAGTCCCAGTGCTGTATGGTATTTAATAATAATGCATAGTTAAATTCACAATTTGGTCTAATCATTTAGGAATGCACTCAAAAGAAACACATTTTTCTAACAGTAACAGACACTGCTTGTTCTCTCCACTTTAAAGCTGGAAGACAGATGACGTTAGAAATATTATAGCATCACTTATCCTGTGCTATAAGATGACTTCTTGCCTTCATTTCCCTTCTATTTATTTTTTCTACAATGTGATCTTGTTTGAACTCCACTGTTTTTTCAATATGTCAAAAAAAAAAAAAAGCCCATTTCAAAAGAAAATATATGTAGTGCCATTTGATAAGCAGAGGACAAAGTGAAGGCCTTAAAGCTTTTTCCAGATCTCAGGAAGAGGTGTGAATACGAGCTACCTAAATAAAGCTGCTTTGAGGAAGGAATACATCACTGATATATTTTAAATTAATTAATCCTGCCCATCTTTTCTCTATGAGGCAGCCACGAAGACATTTTCTTACTTCAAAAAATGGTTTAAAAATACCAAATACAGAAGCAAAGAGACACCTCAGCTGGTAAAGAGCTTGCCTCATAATCATGACAACCCGAGTTAAGAGTGTCAGGTAAAGAAGCTGTGGTGGCAAGTGTAAGGTAAACAAGGCAGAGGCAGAGATGAGCTTGATGAGCAACCCATCTAGCCTAACCTGAGAGTTCCAGGTGCCAGTGAGAGGCCTTGCTGCAAACCACACAAAGAAATGAAACAAAACCAGAAGCAACTAATGTGCTGCTCCTGAGGAATGGCACTCATTGAACTCTGGCATCCATGCATATACCTGCATGCATATCTACATATACACACATCCACATATATAAGCACATCACACTTGGATGATAGGATGACTGAAGACAGCATAAGCTATTCTCAAATGTATTATTTATTTCTGGAAGTAGTAGGGAGGAGTCAGGATGGAGAGACTGGAGAGAGCAGAATGCCGGCCTCTTTCTCTGGTAAGAAGAGACCACTTGTAAATACTTAGATTAATAGAAATGGGTTAATATTTAAGACAGAGCTAGCCAACAAGAAATTAGTAATTGGCTAACAGAATTATATCTAATACAGGGTCTCTGTGTGTTATTTGGGGTTGCCACGGCTCTGGGGCCAGGTTGTCAGGAAGAAAATACTAGCAACACTACTACATCTCCCAGAATCCTCCTTGTCTCCTAGTCCTGCCTATCTTGCTTTCCTATTGGCCAACAATGTTTTATTTACTAACCAATAAGAGAGAGTTATTTACAGAATGACATCTCCCATCAATTCCCCACTCCCTTTTCTCCCACAATTCTCTCAGTTACCTTCTCACCAACTCCTTCCATGTCCCCCCTTCATGTTGATAGCCTCGTTTTATTTATTATTATTAGATACATATATAGATGCATTTATACATATTGAAAAATATATAAATATAACTAGTTCGGTCTGTTCTTTAGTGTGTGTGTGTGTGTGTGTGTGTGTGTGTGTGTGCATGACTTTTCAGGTATGACCAGTCTTCATTGGATAACAAATGAGGGCCCATCAATGGGGCTGGCTAATTCTTCCTCTCCAAGCAGTTATTGGTGTTTTCAGTTTTTTATCTTGGGGGGGTAACCCTAGGAAATTTTTTTCCTTCCATGTTAATATGTCCACTAATATTATCATTTTCTGTTCTTGTTTATGCAACCATTCCTAGGAGAGACTTTTAACAACAGTTTTCCTAGTAAATAATTCAAAAAATAATTCTGGAAGATGATATAATTTTATATACATTACAGAAGAAAATAGCAAGGTTTATTTTTTGGTACTAATGGCATTTAGGAATGGTAATTAACATATAAAACAGAATCATATGTAATTAACAAAGGAAAGAAAATTACATTATATTTTCTTTAAATTGCACAACAGGAAAGTACAAAATGTGTGCTCATTAAGCTTGTCTGTTATAATTCTAATAACTGAAATGAAGTAAAGGAAATTGTGTAATGGAAAAATGCAATCCAATACTTTTAATAAGAATAAAGTGTAGTTCTTGGAGGATATTAAAATTTATAATAGTATCCTTAATGACTTAATAATATGCAACTTTACTACATTTTAACAATCATTGGAGCAATAATGTTTTTAATCAACAGTAAATTTTTTTTAAAAACAGACATTTTAAAGAACTAATTAACAGTTCAAAAATGCTTAACAAACATGTTGATTATGTAAAATTAAAAAAAAAAACATTCGTTTCCAACGCCTTTTCTCCTTCTACAGAATTATCTTTCAAAATGACATCGGTAAAACTATATAATACATTTGATGTTTTTACCATTTACCTAAACCTTATATTTAAGTATAAAAAATGACAGAAGTTTAATCTGTATTTCATTACAATTCGTACATTTATATCAGATGGAAATCTTTCACAATTTACTATAATTTCTGAGAGAACAGTTGGTCCATTTTAGAAAATGGAGCTGGACTATTGAGTGAAGTAGGTATAATACATGAACACAAGGGACATTACGAACTGAAATTGCCTGATTGGAATATAGAGCAGTAAATCATCATCTCCTATGCAGAAGTTTTATCACTAAATTGAGTTAATGATTAGGTTGGTCAATCAAACATTTAAAAATATCTTTGAAAAAATTTAATCACACCATTTTCTGATATACAGTAGATTGCTAAGGAAATGATTCATTCTCAACAGTCTCCATCTCTGCTGAGTTCAAAAGAATGCCTAGTCTCCATAAGTAAAAAGTAAATAAAGGAAATGCATCTGAGAGTTGGAAGATGGTTTCATCATGCTTCTGAAGAAATGTCTGGATTTCTGGGCTGCTGTGATCAATACGTAAAGCCGGATCTCCATGGGTCTCCTGTTGAAGAAGTTGTTCCAGAATCCAGAACAGAGAAAAAATATTTTCATAGCGTGTCACATCAAAATTGCCTTGACCCTACGAAGAAACAATATAAATGCATAAAGCACTGTGTGTGTTAGATCAGAAAATATTTATATAGGATTATATTGTCAGACAAAAGAAAAATTTCTGAGTGGTTTAAAGCCTTCTTTCTTCCTGACTCCTTTGTTGGTGGAATGGGGAGACAACTAGATTGGTGGAGTGGGGAGAAAGAAAATAAATATTTAAAGGACTTTACAAACACCATGAATGATTTTTTCTTTTTCTTAATTCAATTTATTGATTTATTTTACACCTTGAGTGCAATTTCCCCTCCCTTTTCTCCTCCCATCCCTTCCTCACTGCCTTCTTCATTCACTCCTCTATTTCCGTTCAGGAAGCTGCAGGACTCGCATGCATGTCAACAAAGCATGGTATTTCAAGTTAAGGTTGGACTAAGCTCCTCCTCTTATATTAAGGTTGCACAAGGCATCCCAGTATGAGACATAGGTTCCTGGAAGCCAAGCAAAGCATTGGGGACACAGATTCATCTAAAGGACCTCAACATAAATCCAGTTTCACTGAAGCTGATAGGAAAGAAAGTGGGAAAGATCCTTGAATACAGTGGTATAGGAAATACATTCATGAGTAGAACACCAGTAGTGCAGACAATTTGATCAACAATTAATAAATGGGACTTCATGAAACTAATAATCTTCTGTATGGCAAAGGACACTATCAATAGGACAAAGTGGCAGCCCACTGAATGGAAAAATATCTTTACCAATCTCACATCAGACAGAGGCCTGATCTCCAAATATATAAAGAACTCAAGAAACTAGACATAAAAAAAAAATCCAATTCAAAAAAGGGGTACAGATCTAAACAGAGAATTCCCAACAAGAACCTCAAATGGACAAGAGACACTAAAAGAATCATTCAACAGCCTTAGACATCAGGGGAATGCAAATCAAAATTACTCTGATATTTCATCTTACACCACTCAGAAAGGGTAAGATCACAGACATTGATATGGGCTTATGTTGGAAAGCATGTGGAGTAAGGGGAACACTTCTCCACTGATGGTGGGCATGTAAACTTGAACAGCCACATTGGAAATCAATATGGAAGTTTCTCGGAAAATCTGGAATCAATCTACCTCAAGACCTAGCTCTACCACTCTTTGGTATATACATGAAGGATATATACCATAGGACACTTACTCATCTATATTCATATCAGCATTATTTGTAATAGCCAGAAACTGTAAACAACATAGATGTCCATCAACTGAAGAATGATTTTTTTCTTGATGACTTAGGAATCTTGAAATCTTTTTCTCCCAATGTTCTATACATTATCATTCCTAAAACCCCAATCCAAATGTATTAAAAGCAAATGTTTTAAAAAGAAAATTTTTCCCTAACAGCAAGAGATTAAGGTCAGGTGGACTGGGGAGTGGCTTGCAGTGTGGAAGAGCTCTATTGTGGATGCTGACCTATGTGTCTCCGGAACTCAGAAACAACTTCCTCTTGTTTGTGTTTTCCATCCACTTCTCTCTCAAACTCCAGCTGTGGATGCCAGAGCCCTGAAGGTAGGCTGGGAGCCAGCAGAGGGCGCACCCTCCAGCACCAAGCCTTGGAAGCTCCCTTCTACCTGTGTTTAGGAAATCTCCCAGCCGGTTTTCAATTACAAGGCTTTTTAAATTTTATTTTATTTTTTTTTCCTCAACTCAGTGTTAGGCAGCTCCTATTCCATTTTTTGTTTTGTTTTGTTAGAAGCACCTGGATGACACAGACATTGAAAACACCATGCTTGCTTGGTACAGGGTTCTGTGGCTACAATATATACTTCTACATCTTAAAATGGGCTGCTACCAGACTGTAAAAGTTTGCATTGGTCTTGTAGAGCCTAGAGTCTCTAGGTTTCATTGTGCCTATGATCTGGGCCCTAGGTATTGTACTCTAAGCATGTTTGGGTTCCCAATTACAGCACCCTTGCTGTGCATATAATTATCAATACAACTCTATGCTATAACAAAAAGAAGTCAATTATTGCCCAGGCCCCAAAGACATAGCCCACCCCCATATCCTTGTACTTCAGGCATTAGCTCTGTAAATGACTCAACATATGACTGATGCTACAAGCACTGTGGAATGACCTGAAAGAAAAATCCAATGACAAAAGGAACTGTATCAGCCACTACTGCTCTCTCTGGTGAAAGGAAAAAATCAAACAAAAACAAAAACCTGATTACCACATGCAATAACTTTCACTGACACTGCAGATATAGAGACCCTGGCCTACTAAGGATCTCTGTAGTATTCAGACCTCCTCTTACTAATCTCAGACAACCATGTTTAGAGGTTACATAGCTGCATTCTCCCTAACTCTCACCTGCCCCATTGGGAGAAAAGGCAGGGAAGGTTTACTACATCAAAATTAGTTTGTAAAATGCAACAGAAACAATTCCTCTATGGAACACATGGACAATGGTGTAAACAAACAAGAACTGTTAAAAAATCAAGAGGCATATCACAACAGATATATTAACCTTCCAGAATCTACACCAAAGATTGAAACACAAACTGTTTGATGAATAGTTTTAAATATTTATTCATGGAAACTCAGATCTGTTTAAGAGAAAAAGAGAAGTCAACAAAATCAAGATATAAAAATTAACAGACAAGTTAAAAAAAACATAAAGAGAAAATTTGGTTGGCAATGAAATTAATAAAATGAAAAATCAACAGCAGCATATATCAGAGTAGAAAAAAAGTCCATTATCCAAAACATAAAGTGAGAGGATAAATTTTGGAGATCAGTATGGCACCTCCTCAGGAAAATGGGAATCAGTCTACCACAGGACCCAGGAATCCCACTCTTAGGTATTGATCCACATCCATGCAACAAAGACATCTGTTCAACTATGCTTGTAGCAGCATTATTTGTAATAGCAAGAACCTGGAAGCAACCTGGATGCCCCTCAAACTGAAGAACGAATAAAGATGTGGCACATTTACACAATGGAATATTACTCTGCGGGGGGGTGGAGGGGGGAACAATGGAATCTTGAAATTCACAGGCAAGTGGGTGGAACTTGAAGAAACCATCCTGAATGAGGTAACCCAGTCACAAAAAGAGGAACATGGTATGTACTCGCTCATATATGGATTTTAGACATAGAGCAAAGAATCACCAGCCTACAATTCACACCACCAGAGAAACTAGGATACAAGGAGGAATCTAAGAGATTCATGCAAGTTCCCTCAGAGAAGGGGAAAGGAACAAGAAGGGGAAGTGAGTGGAGAGAGTGCTAGGAGAAAGAGAAGGGGAGGAGAGGAAAGCATGTGGGACTAGGAAGAGTGAGTCAGGGGAGGAACAGATGAGAGAAAAAAGAAAGAGAGAGAGAGACCATAAAAGAGGGAGCCATTATAGGTTTCAAGAGAAAACTTACTAGTGAAATGTCCAGAGACCTACAAGACTGACCCCCAACTAACAATTTGAGCAACAATGGAAAGGTTACCATAAATCCCCTTCCCTGATAATGAGATTGATGACTAACTTATCCACCATCATAGAGCCCTCATCTACTAGCTGATGGAAACAGAGGCAGACACCCACATCTAAACAATGAGCTGATCTGGAATCCAGATGCAGAGAGGGAGGACAAGCAAGGCTACAGAAACCCTCAGAGGCCGCTCACTTGAACAAGAAGGAGCTAATGGGCCCCAGACTGATAGCTGGGAATCTAGAATTGAACCAACTCAGACCCCCTGAACATGGGTATCAGAAGGCCTGAGCAGTCTAAGGGACCTCTGACAGTGGAATCAGGATGTATCCCTGTTCACAAAAGGACTTTGGGAGCACGTTCCCCATGGAGGGATAACTCCCTTAACCTAGATGCAGGAGGAGAGCATAGTCCCTACTCCAAATGAATTGACAGATTTAGATGACTCCTTCAGGAAGTGATAACCCTACATGTTGAGTGGGCGGGTGGGGGGGATGGGATGGGAGTGTGTTCGGGTGTGGGGGCATGGCATGGTGGAAGTGAGGGAGGGAGGAAGGGATGAATACGGAACTGGGATCAATATGTAAAATAAGAAAAAGAAATAAATAAAAACAAAACAAAAAAGGGAGGGGGATAACATAAAGAAAATAATTGGAAAAAATATAGATGATTTATAGGGAAGTAATAAAGAACAAATGTACCAATTCTAGGAGTGAAGAAGGAAAAGGTGACAATGGCCAGAAAGAATGTTTAAATCAATAATAGAGGAACATTTCTCAAACCTACAGATGGATTTACATGCCCAGGCACAAAAAGGGCATGCTAGCCAGTTTCAAAGTGAGTAAGACTGCACCACTACATATTATAATAAAATGTTCAAAAATAAAGGATGATAAAGATTATGAATTATCAAGGAAACGCACATTATACGTATGGAATTATCATCTGATTCAGTGGTAGAGAGTTCTCAGTAGAATGGTCACACTCTGGGAGACAGAGGGCAATATATTCAAACAGCAGAAGAGGAAAAATAAAAATGTCCCCACCAAAACAATATGGCATGGAAGGTCAGAAATGAGAAGTAGATGAAGACTTTCCCAGACAAGCCAATATTAATGTTATTTACCCTTGAACCTCTCTTTAAAAAATAAATGCAGGTGAAGGGAAGTCTTCAAGCTTAAAGAGAAACACCACACTACTCAGTAATTTAGTAACATGAAAATAGGTCAAAGAATAAAACAGACTGGTAATATGCATACAATTAAATTCAGAGTACTCTCATTTCTTAAACACTGCTTATAAATCAATTAAGTATTTAGTATGAAGATTAAAATGATAGTCTCAAAAAGATATAAATTATGAAACCAAAAGCATAAAATATGGAAAGTGAACATTTTATCAGATCTCAATTATCAGCTTAAAATAGCCTATTCTAATGATAGAACTCTTAATTACAAAATAAAACAATTAAAAGATAACTAGAAACATAAAAATATATGTAATCAAAAAATATCCCTAGAGAAAATGTGGGATCATGTAAAGGGGT